TGATTAAGGTCAAAATATAATATTTGTAAATCTGACTCTGAAAGAGTAAGTGCCTCACCAGCCATGAACCTCACCGCACGTCACTGGTACTTAGTATATGTTATAGTTTGGATTCCTAAAGCTTTTAGTCTACTATCCCATCATTCAAGGGTGGTTTTCACTATGAGTAATTTCTTTTTTGGACAGACACTATAATTTAATTTGTTTTACTATGTTCAATTTACTTTAAAAATAAAAACATCTTTACTGATTCTGACACTTCTACATCCAACTCACAGATGTAACCTTGCTTTGAAAAAAAGATTATTAATTTACCCCTTTTAGAAGTGAATATATGGTCATTTCACCTGAAAAACAGGCTCAGGGCTAAACAGGTTAACTTTCTCAGTAAAAGCACCTAAATTACCTCAAGTCAATTTGCTTTATGTGTACATTTAAGGAAATATATACATTTAATCTATCATTGATTGTCCCCTAAAATGTATGCTCTCTGACCCAAAACACGACCTCAGATAAACAGTCATCTTTTATCTGAGGTCGTGTTTTGGGTTAGCTTTGGAGTTATCTTTGTGCACAGAAAGGGCGTAGTTACAAATGTTTGTCATGTTTCTCAGTAGTGGGCCCTTTACACAACTCGCAAATACAGTCCCAAAAGAGTGAACATGTCTCACCTTTGCCCAGTGTCCCCTTATTGCATGTGCAGTAGTCATGTGTTTTTGTGATTCTGATGCATGGTTGAAAACCAAGATTGTTGCATATAATATTATCTTATCCATAATAGTTAATGGAATGCATTCTAGTGATGCTATTTTCTGCCATATTTAAATAATACAAAATGTTGTTTGGGAGGAAGTGCCATATGTGTTCATAGCGATAACTCATTGCTAATAAACATCAGGCGAACCCACCAATCTAAACATGGACCCCACCCTTATCAGCTCATAGCAGACTGTTTCCCCACCCAAACATCTCGTACCACCCAATCACACACCACCTACAGGGTGTCACATCAGAACTGGTGGTGAACACGCGCGTGCTGAAGAGATCAACACTGTTCAGGTGCAGATATGCACCGAGCATAACATCTAAGCAGACCTTCCAAAATACCAGCTTTTCTCTGGACCAAAGGGACATGAGGTAAAAAAAAATTCAATATTTTAGTTATGTTGTTCATTGTGCTAGTTTACCAGAATTGTTCACATTTATATAATTCCAGTCAAATATGTGATCATATGGGAAACACCAGTTTTAAATCTGTATGTGGATATGTACATATATATTTGGAAACCATGGTGTGGGAGATGAGCCAATTTTAAATATGTTGCCCTCAGGGGTTGGGCTTTCAATTAAAAACACGGCTTGTGTACGGCTCATTATGGGTACTGGTACTGCAATTTTTTTGGTGCCGGACCTGGTTGTCCTCTAGGAAAGGAAAAACCTTTACTTCAGGATGTCTTCTGTCAATCAAACTGAGAATAATGCATCTATCACAAAGGGCCATGAAAATGTCTTCTAAAAAAAATTGTCTTCTGGCTTATTTAATTGTCTTCTGGCTTATTTACTTGCCCCATCATACATTGATCCGAGACAAGGTAGTACATTGAACAATTGACTTTTTCAACTTTAAACCTGAGTTGTTTGGTACAGGAATGTTGTTTCTGTCTGTAATTTAAGGGCCAGTTCACAGCATTTCTCTGGAGTAACTCCATGGAACTGGTCAGCCAATTAAAAATGTTTCCTTCGCTCTCCTGTGTGAAGACCCTCTTTCCACTGCTGTTCGACTGTACCTACTGTTTTCATTTCCTTTTATCCTTCCCGTTTAAGTCTTTGTGCAGGCTGTCGATATTTCTGTCTTTTGCCACTGCTCTGATGGATTTTCCAGCCTTGCCATCAGTGGCACTCTCCATCTCCTTAGTATTTATTTTGGACTTTCTTGGCATGATAGCTTTTTCTACAATGTTTAAAACATAAAAAACACATCAGTTGTGTAAAACTACATTTAGTTAGTGAGTTAACTTAACTTCAGTGCCTCAGGGGGGATTACGTTGAACCACTGATTCACTTTGCCCCACAGCCACTTTTTGGAATAAAAACGGTTTAGTTTAGTCATTCAGGCTAATCTTTGGCTAAATGATTGACATGGTTTTACACCTTGCTAAATAATATAATAATATGAATAATATGATACATATTTTCAGACCTGGATAGATTTACTGTGACACAACAGTTATCATACCTGACATGTTAACATTTACTTTGACAAGCAAAACATGGTTTATTGTGTAAAAAACACACTTACCACATTACCATCATGTTAACCTGCTGTCATGTCAACTTCCACATGTTTTACATGAAAATATACCCTGAAAACTGAAAGAAATGGTAAAAAGAGTATTCAAAGAAGAGAGCAAAGGCAGAAGAAACAACAACTTATTATAAGAATTATTCAATTGTAATGTTCTGGCCAGTGTGAGAGGAGTGGCCTGCTAAACAGAAAATGTGCTTTTTGTTAAGTGTGTAATTCTGTTGTGAACAAACACCTGTGTCACCAAAGAAGACATAGATACTCTTTCTTAAATGACTCTGTACTTTGACCATCTCATTTGTTGTCCAATTGGAGAGGAGAGTTTCTGTGACTAGGTTTTACACAATATAGGATGCAGTGTTGAGTAATATTCTGTTCATTTTCTTGACTGACAGAGCAAAGCAACAGAAGATTTGGATGAGCAAACAGAACAGAAGTGGACAATGGAAAACTGTAAGCAATTAGAAGATGAACAAACCATAGTGGACATGAAAACCAAAATGGAGATTATTAAAAGACAAAGACAATTGACATTGGAAGTAATGGGGAAGATTGAACAACTTTGGGAAGAGGCACAAAGAGAAAGAAATGAAACTGACTACCTGGAGAAAAAAGCAGAGCAGCAACAGGAGGACATCGTCAGACTGAGAACTGAAAATCAAAAGCAGCATCTATTAATAAATAAACTGAGATCACAGATAGAAAAACATTTTGAGAAACTTGAAGAGAATAAAAATGAAGCGGCTCAAGAAAAATTGCTACTTCTTAAAATGAGAACTGAAATATATAGAGAAAAAGAGACCCTGGAAAAAAGACGTTATGAGCGACATGAGTTAGAAATGATCAAGGGTGATAAGACAACACAAAAAAGTATTGATCTAAAAGAAGCCATGGAACAGATAGAAAGGAAGCAGGAGATAACAGACAGTCTGCTCAGCCTCGTCAACACAAATAACAAAGTAATGCTTGAAACAATGCAGGAAAAAGAACATATGGAGAACATCATTACAGACATAAAGCAAGAGTTGATTATTATTAAAAATAATAATTCCCACCATAGAGATCAACTTGAGCACATCAAGCATAATATACATTTGAAAATGAACACGATGAAGAGAAGGTGGGCAGACATTCAAAGAGCTGAGAGAGTTGAGCTGCAGGAAGAAGGAAGACACACCTTTGGCATTGTGAAGATTCACCTCTGCAAATTCCAGAAGGAGATGAAGAAGCTTTCGGATGAGCTGGTGGTGACTTTGACAGAGGAGCAGGAGCTGAAGACAGAGAGCAGTCAGATGGCAAACATTACACGTGACGAGTTGGCATGGGCCAAATCTGAAAAGGATGATATTGATCAAATCAAAACTAACATACAAACTGAGAGAGAGGACATTGAGAGGGAGAGGCAGATAGCTAGAGCCGAAATGATTGCATTGACGTGTGTGAGGGAGAGTACTGAAAGGCAAATGCAGGAGCTGGATGACAAGTTACAAAGAACAAAGAAAGAAATAAGAGAGAAGGAAGAGTTGAACACTGAGATTGAAATAAAGAAAAAGGAGCTAGTAAAAATGATAAGAATGAGCAAGAGAAAAAAGAAAGAGTTCAGCAGCATGATGGAAGAGGCTGAGCCTGCTAGACAAGACATGCAGGAAGGACAAGATAAGACTAAGGAGCAGGTGGACGTGGAGGACACATCTGATGAGCAGAAGAAACAACTTCCTCTGGCTGACAGAACCACAGAAATAACACAGGAAGTGAATACTGACATGAAGAGAGTGATTCTTGAAGGAGAAGAAATCAGAAAGCTGCTGTGTGGGGTAAGAGAAGATACAGAGCCAAGCAGGGCAGACTCTACAGAAGAGAGGACAATCCAATGGATGAAAAAAAAACAAAGACAGCTTGACCAACAGCTGGAGAAGACAAATAAAGAAAGAGATGAGCTGGATGTCACGAAGATAAAGATACAGAAACTCAGGGAAGAGGTTGAACAAAAACTAAAAGATACAATAACTGCATTTCTGAATATGGATGAAATAAAAGCTAGCATTGAAAAAGCTACTACAGAGATGAAGAAAACCAGGGAGGAGATGCTCAAAGTCCAAAGGGAGATGGATCAGAACAAGGAACACATCAACAAGTTTAGGGTAAGTCAATAAGTAATAAATATGCCTTCTTAACATAGAATGTCTACACTTGTTGAATTCAACATAGTCATATTAAAAGACTATATACATCATTTATTCGTAGTTGATAATTGACAGAGTGGAAGGATATAAGTCATCATCATCCATAAACATTCAATGCATTTATTAATCCAAATGGATCAACACGTTCTCACTCCCAACCCGTCACATGTTGACGGACGGTCAGGGCCCCTCCCCGTCACTCCCTTACGCACAGGGAAGAGTCCTGCATTGGGTTGGGTATCCGCGGGTACCCGACGGGTGACCCGCAAAAAAGGTGATTTGCGGGTGGTATTTTTTAAAACGCTTTTTTCCGGGTTCGGTTCTGGGTAAAACAAAGATGATGCGGGTCGGGTTGCGGGTGTTGCATAATAAATATATTTAAATAATAATAATTTAGTTTAATGTTTAAATCCTCAGACCTCTCCCCCGCGGGACCGAGCATAATCATAACCTCTGCAGCGCATCTATCTGCTGCTGAGCGCGCCACATTCTGAATGGCTGAGGTGAAGCTCTCTATCGGAGAATACAGCATTTTCAATAACTCTTCCTCAAGAGCGAAATCCAACGTCTGGGAGGCTTTTGGTGTCATCCTAGATGCAGAAAATAACCAACATCCCACGCTTTTTGAGCCAAATATGCAACTGCGTGTGTTAATAATTGCACGTTTTCACTGCGTATATATATGCGGGTTCGGGTCGGGTTGAGGATCTTGTGCTGGCGGGTCGGGTCGGGTTGCGGAACTAATTGGCAATATGTGCGGGTAGCGGGGCGGGTTCGGTATTGCACGTCGCGGGTGCGGGGCGGGAGCGGGTCTTGAAAATCAGACCCGTGCAGGACTCTGGTCTGAGGG